ACTCTCCGTTTTATCTCCTGGCCTCTTTTTCTTTTACTTTTTCTTTTGAGATAGGGTCTCACAAAGTCATTAAGTTGAGCAGGCTGAGCTGGAAATAAATTTCTAAAAAGGGGGAGGAGTCAGTCTAGCATTATAATGACTATAAACATATTAATTTCTATACATATTTCTACCTTATTTGATTGTGAAGACAATATATTTCTTGGTATACTCTTTCATTTTTTTTATTGTTACAAGAGTTTTTCAGTATTTATAGAAACTGTATAGTTAAGGACCATCATCTAGAGAGTGAAATACATTTTTATTCTTCAAAATTACATTTATGGTGGCACACACCTATAATCCCAGCATGGGAGAGGCTGAGGCAGGAGGATCTCTGTGAGTTCAAGACCAGCCTGGGCTACATACAGAGGTCCAGGTCAATCTGAACTACATCATGAGACCCTGTCTCAAAACACCCCCCCCAATCACATTGTTGTTTAAGGTTTTTGTTAAATCACATTTAGTTGTTTTGGAGTTTCACCTACACAATATTCTGTTTTCCGATACTGGGGATCAAACTCAGGGCTTGCGTTTGCGAGGCAGGTGCGATGCCACTGAGCTAAATCTCCAGCCCAAGCTACACAATTTTCTTAACACACACTTGTTGAGGATACGCTATATACCGTGTTGAGGGAAAGATGGACTATGTGGCTTGCACATTTAAAGAGTTTAATCTCCCGCCTCTGTGGGAAACATCAGCACTCAGGAGCATCTCCTCTCCCTTCTCTGGCTTTGTCCTTCGTTCAGGAGCTCCCGCACCTCCTTCGCTGGCTTTCCTTGTCTCACCCCTGATAGCTCAGTGATACCAGTGTGTTTCCCTTTCTAAATGTCTTTCCTGCTTTGATTTTTTTATGTCTCTCTTTTGTATTCTCCCATAATATTCTATGTAAATCTTTATGTCTCGATTATGTTTGAAAATGTGCATTTGTGTAAGCTGAACTCCCAACCGTATGCTCAGCATCTCTGTACTTGCACTGATAGCTACATATTACAATTTCTGTCCCCATAGTTGTTAGAGGCAGATAACTCGCCTCAAAATATGTTATTCAGACTGAGTAACTTACCAATGCCTGTAGCAGGATTTGGACCCAAGAGAACTATGGTTTTGAACTCAGGTATTCTAGCTAGTAGTTAAAAGGAGCAGTTGCAGGACTGAAAGGCTGACTTTTTAGGTTGTGTCAGTCTATTTAAACACGATCTATTTCTGCATTAGTTCATGACCTTTCATTAAAGGTTTTAGGAGCTTCTGATGGTCTTGATGAGGCATTCTGTGTCATGTCCTAGAATAGAGTCTTTCAACTCCGAGTGTATGACTTGTATTTAGATGAGAAATTATAAAAATCATTTTTGTTTGCTTTGCATTTCAAGAATTCTTTATATTTAGAGTGATTTGAAATGGTAGTATTACATCTGTCTTTAACAACAGCTGTGTTAAACCCTTTCCCCTTTTAACCCCTATCCCTTATTAAAATAAGAAACATATGAGTTCTTGAAAGGAATGAAAAGGCTGGGCTTTTAAGCAGAATAATGCAAGTCATTTAAATTAGTCATGGTTACAATTAGTCTCCATAACTTTCAAAGCAAAGAACTCCTTGATCTGCCAAATGTAAGAACAATGAAATCCAAATTTATCAGAGACTTAGTTGAAGATTTTGACTTTACATTTAAGTAAAAAAAAAAATGTATAT